AACAGCAGTACAGCAGCCATTTGAAATGATGCTTCGCTGCCATACAACCATGAGGACCTATGAACTAAAGAATAAGAAGAGGGAGAGAAGGGGGACTTACCTGAAACCCTTAATGCCCTAAGCAAACATTCAGGGTCAAGTCGCTTACACCTTGTGTAGACAACATACCGTCACAAACAGCTGGCTATCGTGTAAAGATAAGGCGGCATCGGCGAGACAGCTTCATTGCGGCTTTCACTGCCACGCGTCATAATCAGCCGTTACCCCGCAGATAACTCAACACCAAACCCACATTAAACAGGCAATCCGATAAGGAGACGGCAGCAGACGCGCCACTGGTGTCGGTTGCGAGCCATGTCCTGTAAAGTTTCAAGCCAAGCACAAGGCGAGTCACGTGGATTCCAACCCGGAAGACGAGACGGTCCAACGGCACCCAGTTTGGTCGTCAGTGACTTCATTTCCCGCTCTCAAGTCAACTTCTGTCCACCTCGAGCCTTGCGCCATTCTACACCTGGTAGACTAAACAAGGCGCTCCCAGGCAAGCGGTGACCAGGCATGCGAAGCACGTGCCCGAGCCAACGCAACTTATTCAGTGCTATCTGTTGTTCTAGGGAGCTAGCATGATTATCACACCTAGTACTCGCCCACGCACATCATCGTTGAGGATACGCTGGTGCCATCCGACACCAGCAATGTTTCACAAACAACGATGGTCAAAGACTTGAAGGCGCCTCAGATCTTCAGACCGAAGGGGCCAAGTCTCACTACCATAGAGCAGGACGGCTCTCACTGTTGCCTTGTATACACGGCCTTTCAGACGGAGGGAAACTCCCTTCTGTCGCCAAAGGTGCTGCAGGTTCAAGAAGGTAGCTCTGGCTTTTGCAATGCGTGAGCTGACGTCAGTTTCTATGCGCCCATCATTGCTGATGCAGCTGCCAAGAGAAGCGAATTGATCAACCACCGAGTTCCTCGTTAGCAAGCGTCAAGGGGTCATCAAGTGGCTGGTGGCCCTGCAGCAACACTTTGCACTTTGAAGATGCGAAGTGCATACCAAATAATGGGACCACTCTAGACAGGCTATTCAGGGTTGATTGTGGCGCCCCAACATCGTCGAAAAGCAAGATGATATCGTCCCCATACTCAAGATTAACTAACCTTCCACCAGGCAGCACTTCAACGCCTACATCGTTGGATTCCGCAAGGGAACACTCCATGATAGAATCCACGACGGAACTGAACAAAAATGCGGAAATCGGACAACCCTGACGAACGCCACTTGTGGCCGGAAAGTTATCCGATAGGACACCGTAGACCCTGACGCGGCCTGTAGTGTTCGAGTATAGAGCACGAAGGATGTTCACATATTTCGTCGGAACACCTTTCCGAGCAAGTATTTTGAACAGAATCGATCGAATCGAACGCACACTTGAAATCGTGGAAAAGAGCTACTGTCGGTCTGCGGTATGCGTGGCGCTGCTCTAGCACCTGCCGCAAAGTGAATATATTGTCTATACAGTCACGTCCTGGGCGGAAACCGGCCTGCTCTTCCCTAATCCGAGATTCCCGTTCTGCAATGAGGGGATGAATGAGAATCGAGGCCAGTAATTTTGTCACAACTGGCATTAGGCTGATATCCCTGTGGTTAGAACAGTCTGTGCGACTGCCCTTCTTGTATATTGCCACTATAATCGATTCGCTCCAATTAGCCGGGACACTTCCTTCCAGATACATTCAAATAAGGAGGTCAGTTATTTGCAGAGGACCTCACCTCCATATTTAAATAGTGCAGGTGGGAGGGAATCTGGGCCAGCGGCACGAAAACGATTAAGGGCTGTGATCGCGTTTCGGACCTCGGCCTCCGACGGAGGCTCTAAACTAACCGTCCATGGCTCGTCCTGCATCACCTGAGTAGGAAGAGGTCCGGGAGCAGGGGGCCAGCTGAACTGATCTTGAAAGTGTTCCGCCCAACGAGCCATACGGCGCTCCTTATTGTGTATCAGCGCACCTGCGCTGTCTCTGATTGTCTCACTGACGCCTGGTTTTCTGAGACCAGTGGTGCGGAATAGCTGGAAGAGCTTGCGGTAATTGCCTATTGCTCCTGCCTGCACCATTTCTTGAGCCCTACTGGTCCATCAGGCTTCCTTGTCAGCACGTAGGCTCCACTCTAGTTCACGCCTAATAGCCTGTCTGGTCACATTGTATTCAGAGCCAGCCGGGAGGTGTCTTCTAGATTCCATGTTCACCGATCTCTCGGATATCCAGTGACTGGTGCGGTGGGGATGTATAGTGCTACAAGCAGATGCTCCTGCGTCATGCATTGCGGCCGAGATCCTATTCCACTGAAGCTCAGTGTCATTAGAACAAGACAGCGGAAGTTCGGTATACAGCGCTTCTTGATAGGCTTGTCTTGCCGAGGACTGGGACAATTTCTCTGTTGCCAATTGTAGGGGACACTTGGTGCGCCTCCCGGTAAAGTTCATGGAGAAGAGACAGCGTACCAAAGCATGATCAGAGTCGACACAGGTACTCCAGTATGAGCGGCAATTCAGGATGGAACCACGCCATCTGTAACTTATGGCTAGGTGATCAATTTTATTCCATCGCTGGCCAGCTACAGGAGGACGTCAAGTGGCACTTCGGCGCCCACTGTGTCTAAAAGCAGTGCCACTAAGAAACAACTGGTGCTCCGTATACAGTTGCAGCAAACGCTCACCGTTGTCAGTCCGTTCGGAGTTAAGCCCACAATTACCACCCAGCTGAGCTTCTGAAGAGCCCAGAAGCCCAACTTGTGCGTTCACATCTTCTGCAAGTACTATAATTTCTGAACTAGTAGGACTGCGTAGTAGCGCGTTCAGTTCGCGATAGAACGTCTTTGACAACATTAGAACTGCAGTCGGTGGGAGCATAAGCGGAAATCACAAACAAACAGCATTTTTTACTACTTCGTGAATCAGTCTTAGCTGATGTCGTTAAACGGGCTGCACATAAACGACTGTTCACCGGAATCCAATCAACCAAAGATGACTCAACCTTGGAGGTGAAAATGATACCCACACCAGCCTGACCCGTGAGTGCTGTATCGGCGTCTCCGGATGCGTGCAACCAATAATGAGATGCTTGCCGAACAACCTTCTGGTGGTGCCAGTTTGGTGGTTCGGGATTATCCCGTTCAGGCGAATGCTTCGGCGGCAGTGTTCCAGGACACGGTGGATTTTCGCCTGGCAAGCGTTCTCCCTATAAAAAGCCACATATGTCGGTTTAACAACATTGTGATGTGGCGGATGTGACTCGCCACTAAATAAAGTCACTGACCATTTCCTCTCTGAGTGGCATTGTAATTCAAGCGCGGGTTAGACCCCTGGTCCTATGCGGTCCTAAAGGCGTATGAACCACTTGTTTGGTTACCGGCTGCCAACGGATTGCGATACCTTCATAGAGCCCTGCTGTTTTGTATGGTAGATCCTGGATCAAAGGCTCGGGATGGGGCACCGTAAGACAACCCTCAACTTCGGCTTTGGTAAACGGGTTGTATCTCGCCCAATGAGGAACCTTGGATGGATCATCCTCTTTCCTCCCCCAATAAAAAACATCAAAAAATCTCAAAAACAGAGTGAAAAAATGGACAAAAAGATCTCTTTAATGTTCATTTAAGCTAACCGTTTTCCTATTCCGCCATGGTTCCGATGGCATAATATTTGTACACAGACTGTGTGTCCAAGGTACGTGCGAATGCAGCCCGTTGACCTGTTTGTCTTAGAGTGCGAACGTCAAGCTTTTCAATGGGGATATCTTGGCCTTATAGGGGACTTTTGCCGAGAGATGCTGTGGGATGGTGACTACAGATGGTTCTACTCCAGTGGAACTTCGGTTGCTATCAATTAAGCTTGGAATTATGGAGGGACGTTTAGTCATGTGAGTCGGGATGGGAGTAAAACAGGTGGAAAAAGGAGGCGCCAGCAGTAGTATGTTTTGCTTATCCACCCTGATGTATACAGCAGATAAGGCGGCCTTTGATAATCTGCGCGACGACCGCTGCAGGATAAAGTTTGTTTGAAGAAGCAGTCATGGTTGGTAAGGGCTGAGATACTGTCAGGGCGCCCAGACCTATACAGGAACCACCGTTCAACCAGTGTCAGAGTGAAAAGTGATAACTAAGCAATCAACATTTTAAGCATCCAAATAAATCGCCTGAAATCCTAATGCACGTTTGTGCAGCCACACTGCACTGCACGGCAGTTGTTTGGCAGGTCAAACCTATGGCGATGTCCCAACGCTTGGACATCATTATCGCTCATTACGTTATCAAATAATTGGAGGAAAAACGCCTCAAGAGAACCAAAGTATTAAAAGCTCGGCATGTACAAGTTAAAGTTAGCCTCTAAATGTCCCTAGGTGACAAGTTTCAGTAATCCTTTTGTTTGATGTCATGCAAAAGCTTCGTATCACTACTGCCACGATAAGATGGAAATGAACAGTATACTTTCAAAGCAAAGTTAATGTTGCGTTGAACATCATAAGAATGGTTATACTCACAAGAAGGCTTCCTGTTATGTCCAAAGTAGAACCACCGCACAAGAATTTACAACATATTTCATCCAAGGTACTGGAAACAATTCTGAATGTGCTGTGTTCTTTAGTAAAGCACTGAATTATTAGCTGTTGGTCATCTTTCAACTTCCTGATGCACGACATGTGTGAGAGCGTCCAACAAATAGAAAACAGCTGATGAGAATCTGGTTTCGTTGGTCACCGACTGCGAATAACGTTAAGGTCGATGGTAATAAAAATGTAGAACTGGTTGCGTGATAGGCTATTAAAACATTTATAAATGACGTTGAATGAAGTTTTGGCTGACATGAATGATTATCAATAGCTGACCGGAACGGATAGTTGTGCTTTGAGGTTGAAGCAGCTTAGGTCATTTTCCAATTAGGCGCTCGTCCGACGAGCCTTCTGTTCCTTGTACGGGAAAGTAAACCAAGACCTCCCCTGGCCGCACAAGTGACCAAATGCTCCGCTGTAGTGGCCTTTGGACGTCCCTGAGTGACGGATATTTAAGTCCCCGACTGTCTTAATTGGATACTTTTGGACTTCTGATCACTCACAATTCTTTCGCTAACAAATCCTTTACCATTTACCGTAAATGCCTTTATCCTGAGTCGAATGACTATCAACGCTAAACTGAAATCTATCTCCGCTTTGTGACCATGCTATACTTAAGTCTTTGGGTTTAATCGCACATTGTTTCCTTGACAAAAATTCGCACCATTTGGGACGACCGTTGTTCACTCAGAATACTTTGCCAAAACACCCTTGCTATATACCGCAAACGCATTATTCTGATTGCAAATACCGTCAAGCTAAGCCGCAACCTATTACCATATTTTAATTATGTAACACTACAACCATTACTCGAAACCGAACATGTCTTCGAGTGACCCAAAGTAGACCAAAGATTATCTAATTTTGTCGGTCGGGAGCACAAACCTAGGGCTCATAGACAGCTGTAATGGTCACTAGCACTGAGCGAATTTTCGAGATTCTTAAAAAGTATCGCCTTTGTATGCAACAAACGAAGGTTTCACGAATGTGCATCACATTTATTCGCGTAGCTGGACAGAGCAGGTCAGTTATTTTTATTTTACAGTTTTGCCACAACGAGTGACAAAAAACATGCGCAAATGGGTCGGCTGGAGGTCTATCTGTGAGGACAGTTCCAATACTCAAATTTCTGATTTTGTTTCCTTGCCGTTGCAAAGAACTAAAGCAAGGTAGGAGCAACCCCTCTACTTTTTTGGAAAATGGACTTTAGGTCTATGACAGCTGACAATAAATTTACAACAATTGTGTTACGAGACCCGGCCAACGCTTATCCAGGTCTTATTTGAAGGCTGTTACAGTGGAAGTTCCAATTCAGGCAGGACGAGGTTTGTCCCAAGTAGGAACTACCCGGTTTGCAAAAACTACCCTACTGTCCATCCTAGACCCCTGACGCTTTATTTAAATTTCAGGTTCCCGTATGTAGTTGGATGCAACAAGTTTCAACGGAACGGTAAGCTAGATGCAACTGAGGTTCTTCATAAGCTTGAACGGGTCTATAAGCTCACCACGTTCTCTGCGTCGATCCATAGAGAGCAATCATATGCTCCTTAGGCTTTCATCGTATGATTTCCCGCGCTGGCCCTCAAGTATCCCAGTGGTCAGATTTTGGACGTTTAAGGTGCAGGTCACCTCCTTTCTGCTATGCGGCATCCATGCCTGAAAGCAGTACTCTAGGCAAGGTCGTACCATCACGTCATATAATGGTTAGTAAACCTTTGTTTGTGCGTTAAATAAAGTTCGCTTGAGACCGAATAAGTTCTGTCGCGTCTAGTTTGCGGCATAATAACACGGTGCTGAGGCTTTGAAGGTATTCGTCATTATGATACTCTAAAATCGGGCCTCATCAACGGACCGCAATTTCAGGTTACCGGCAGTAGTTTGTACGGTTATGGCTAGCATAATCCTAACTAACCCACCACCATGATCATCGAGCAACGGCTGTCGAGCCCTGTATTGAACGCTCCGTCGTAGCCAGCACAGGGTTTGCATTCGGCATCATGAGCTAACGCGCTATGGTTGTCCAACTTCAGGCCAGTAGCCCAAGTTGGCCAAAGACATGTAACCTCAATACGTGCCCTTTCTGCTGGTACCGGGTTGCAACAATCACTGTAACCACCTCGTCACTAGAAGACAACAACAACAGACACTTACTGGCATTAAGGGGCAAATTCCTTGAGGGAGACCATTTCCCTAAGGCGCAAATGTTTTTGCAAAGGTACCTGTGACAAGGTGCCCCTGTACAAGTGTTATATCATCTGCAAGGACAACAACGGCTCCCGCAGCGCGTAGGCAACCGCTTTATATACAAAAGGAATAAGAGGACCTGAAACAGCACCTTGAGGATCGACGCTGTGGGCGATACCCACACTTAAGCAGCGGTCACCGATGCTACTTCGGCAGGATCTCTTGCAGAAATTCTGCAAGCAAATTCACTAGCTAAGGATGTAGCAAAAACCATGACAGCTTTTCTAGTACGGAGCACTGGTTGACGGAGTCATAAACATGCTGAAGTCTAACCAACAAGCTCTGGTTGAGAAGTCATCAGCAAGACAGCGAGTTATTTCCTATACCATGGAAGAATAATGGAAAAGGCGTTAATTCTGCCTAACGAAGCCTTGCTGCACCGCTCATATTAAGTTATCGGCAGCCAAGTGCTTTGAAATCCGGTTCCATATAAGCTTTTCCAAGCGTTGGAGTCTGACGGTAATGAGCTTGACTGGCCTGTAGGTTCCATGGGCTGGGTTAAGGCCAGTTGTTGAACTGCCACAACCGCCACTGTAGTCTTATGGCAGCCTACCAGTCTGTATTGGTATGTTGTACGAAGCAAATACAAGGTAACGGAGTACTGTAACGAGCGACTTGAAGAAAGCAGAATGCACATTATCAAGTCCATCCAAGTTTATTGGCTTCAGTAAACCAATGGGCTTCTTCGTCTTGGTCAAAACGAGAGCTAAACTATGAATGCACCCCTCCAGGCTTGTTTTGCGCTGAAGCCAATGCTGCTGACATGGATTTCGCTAAGGCCCGTCTGTTTGCGTAACAGTATGCACGGGCATTTGTTTCAGCACATTGTTCGCCACCTACTGATTTCCGTTGAAACTCGGATGACGGATATTGCTACTACAGAGACACTAGTGCTCCGGCTACCACGGAAACTAAATCCTAACAAAGTGCCCAAGACAACTGCTATTTAATCTATTTTGTATAGGAACTGGAAGCTCAGCTTTGTGGGCTTATCACGTGTTCCTATGAAACGTTTCGTCTCCACCGCTCCTTGCCAACGGATTGAAAGGTTGGGCTAACAAATTCCTGGAAAATACAAGTGGGCCAGTTTGCCTAATGCTTTAGTCAACTTACTGGAAAAGCTAGGTTGAAGTGCACTGGACACCAAATTGAGGCGATTCTACTTGCTCTGTTCGTCTCAGCACGATTTTGGTAAAGGCTACGCCTGCTCACCCAACTTGTTGTAAGCTGGGGAATCTCGTCTGAAGCGATAAGTAAGGTGAGGCGGTGAATTTGATTTACCACGAGTTTGCCAACACTTTCGACACCGTCCCACATTCCAGACTGCTGTGTAAGTTGCTTTCATATGGTACTTCCTGATAAGCTCTACAGTAGTTGACGGCGCTTCTCGAGGATAGAGGATGTGGTTTTGTTTTGCTGGAGACTCTCAGTTCGACAGTTGGTTCGCAGTGATGTTCCGCATGGGTCTGTCCTTGCTCTAATATTGTACACGCCGTAGATTAAGGGCTTGCGTAATAAACTGGTGGAAGCACCTGTGACGTTTGCAGACTACGTTAAGTGCTGGAGCATCGTCAGTCGGCCAGAGGACTCCCAGTTTCGGCAGAGTGCCATTGGTGGTACGTCACAACCATTCATAAATATTTCCAGGTGCTCAGTTTAGCAGCTTTGGATGGGTGGTTCATCAAAGCCTTATTTTTAAAGGGCAGTGAAATACTCGTGTGTCGTAGCAAGCTGACTTAGGTGTCTATCTGTCTGCAGCCCTCATGTAGACGCGAACGGACAACGTCTGTTGCCTAAGGGGTTCAGAATGCTGTGAATAATCCAAAAAGCATTCGAAATCATTACAGGTGAGAAAACTGCTAAAGTTTCACAGCTTTCATTGGATCACACTCAGAGTACTGCGCCCAAGCCTGCGCTCTTGTTTAGAGTGTGACACGATGGCAGTGTAGAGAGTTTTGAGGCTGGGCTCCCAGATGTTGCGTGGGCTGAACCGTGTACCGACCACGAGTGATTGCGTAGGCTGGTTCTATATGTCAGGTGGCTCCGGACCTATGGCTCCTTTCCCTTCCGGCTCAATTGCCGACTGTTCGCGGGCATCCAAGTAAGTTGCATACGCCACGATCCGATCGTGTGGGACCGCTGCCTATTTTTCGTGTAGGATGTTTGACTTGATGCACTCTGCCTGAGGATGTGATATTGATATCGAAGTTCAATGCGTTTGCCCACTGACTTGACCCCCACATTTTGCAGCTAAAACTCATCCTCTGTGTATTAGCCTGAATTACAAGTTCCAGTTCCGTTTGCTTGTCTTGATTTCCAGGGTGAATGTTCCGTTTTTTGCTCATGACAGCATATTTTGCCTTTCTTTTCCTTCCTTTTGGTATATTCCTATTTCAGGTCCCAGCACAGCATGGGCTGTTGGTGCAGGACACGGGGCATGGATTGGTTGAGTGCAGTGTAACGCGGATGCCGATTTTGCATCCGCAGCATACAAACCGCTTCGCCGAAACCCAAGTCTGCTCAACGGCGCTTACCGAATGGAACATCACGGGATTCGCCAATTGTTGACGTCGCACTTGAACTACAATTTGAAGCATTGTTCAAAGCTTTGACACCTTTAACCCTTAACAACTTGGTTAGTAAGCTAAAGTTGGTCCCGACAAATCGGTCGTGGAATTTGTGCGTTACGTAGAAACCCAGTCTAACCAAACGTCAATGGCGGAAGCGCTGCGGCAAATTCGCGCACTTAACATTTATGTATTGATTTATTTATAATTGGTTATGCAACAAAGTACTAACCAACCTCAAACCATATCCAGACAAAAACCTACACAACACTTGCACTC